ATCTCGGAATTTGGGCATAGTGCCAGAGGGTGGAGACCAGTCTACCAGGCCGAGGCATTTAACCAATATTTCAACTGGTTTGATTCTCCTCCCTCTCCATCTGCCCCCTTTCCTGCCTCCACCACTTCACACGTCTCCAGCCCAGTGGACACTGCTTTCAACTGGCCCAAGCCCCTCTGCACCCACCCAATCCCCCCTCTCCATTACGCCGGACCAGGTAAGGAGAGAGCTCAATGACCTGAAGCAGAGGAAATCCACAGGACCGGATGGGATCAGTCCCAGGCTGCTGAGGACCTGTGCAGACCAGCTCTCTGTGGTCCCTGTCCAGTGGAAGACCTCCTGTGTGATCCTGGTTCCTAAAACAGCGAACGCCAAGGAACAGGCTCACTACAGACCAGTCGCACTGACCTCCCACCTGATGAAGACCCATGGAGCGGCTCATCCTCAACCACCTCCGCTCCGTGGTCAGCCCCACCCTGGACCCGCTGTTCGCCTACAGGCCCAACATCGGAGTAGAGGATGCTGTCCTGTTCAACCACTGTACCAACCGCTGCGCAGCTGTGAATCTGAGGTGGTAGTCTGCAGTTCTCTCTCAGGGCACTGTCCTCTCACCGTTTCTCTTCACCATCTACACTTCAGACTTCACATACGACACACACAGCTGCCACCTGCAGAAGTTCTCTGTCGCCTCCGCCATCTTGGGCTGTGTGTCTGGAAGCAACCACTAGATGATCATCGACTTCAGGAGAAAACCACTTTCCCACACGCTGCTGAACACCCAGGGGGAGGACATTGAGCTGGTGGACAGCTTCAAGTACCTAGGTGTTCACATTAACAATACACTGGACTGGTCTCTCCTTGCTCTCTTCAGGTGGGTGGAGAGGTCCTTCCTCAAGTGGAGGAGTTCAAGTATCTCGGGGTCTTGTTCACGAGTGAGGGAAGGATGGAGCGTGAGATTGACAGGCGGATCGGTGCAGCGTGCGCAGTGATGCGGTCGCTGTATCGGACCGTTGTGGTAAAGAGGGAGCTGAGCCGAAAGGCAAAGCTCTCAATTTACCGGTCAATCTTCGTTCCCTCCCTCACCTATGGTCATGAACTTTGGGTAATGACCGAAAGAACGAGATCGCGGATACAAGCGGTCGAAATGAGCTTCTTCCGCAGAGTGGCTGCTCCCTTAGAGATAGGGTGAGGAGCTCAGTCACACGGGAGGAGCTCGGAGTAGAGCCGCTGCTACTCCACATCGAGAGGAACCAGTTGAGGTGGCTCGGGCATCTGTTCCGGATGCCTCCTGGACGCCTCCCTGGGAAGGTGTTCCGGGCACGTCCCACCGGGAGGAGGCCCCGGGGAAGACCCAGGACACGCTGGAGGGACTATGTCTCTCAGCTGGCCTGGGAACGCCTTGGGGTCCCCCCGGACGAGCTGGAGGAAGTGTGTGTGGATAGGGAAGTCTGGGCGTCTCTGCTTAGACTGCTGCCCCCGCAACCCGGCAACGGATGAAGCGGAAGAAAACGGACGGACGGATGGACTGGTCCATAACACCAACGCCCTGTACAAGAATGGCCAAAGTCGCCTCTTCCTTCTGAGGAGGCTGATGTCCAAATTGTTTAATCCAATGGTTCCAAATGATGTCTATGCAAAAGAGGACGATGGTATTGTCCATGTCTCAGCAGCTCACAGCAGGTCTGACTGGAATCAGGGGCTGTGCAGATTGTCCAAGTGCTGGTCCAGATGCATGGTTTCTCTTGAGGTTTCTCAGTTTTGGCTTAAAAAAAACACACATTTTTGAGTAAAAAAAGTAGTCTTCTGTTCTCTAGATGTTACAGACAAGGCCCGCATCCTCCACCATCTGAAGAAGATGACATAGTCTGGGATCGCGTCTTTCATTCAGACAGAAGACATGTTTTATTGTCGATGGTAGAGACAGCACGAACAACACGAACAACAGAATGCAAGTGTATTATACAGAGCGGAGGCATGGAGACCTCCAATCAGCAGCTTCCACGGTGCCATGTAGCTTGGCCTTCAGATAGACACAACAAGGGAAAAGTACTGGCTTCTGCACATTGATAGAATGATGAGTTTAACTTTAACAAAAGTTGCTTCAAAGTGTTATGAAATCTCACACTAGTTAGTTTGTCTCTGATTCCTACTCTGCATCAGACAAACTGCTGATGAGTTGGTGGAAATGTCGCAGCAGCGGGAGGACAGAGGTGGGCGAGGCTGAAGATGTGAGGCTGTGATAATGGACACGTCCAGGGAGCTTTTGTTAAGTAAATACACACAGAGCTTAGAGCAGCGTTAGCACCACCCTGCCATGACTAACACACAGATGCAGAGATAATAGCTCTAATCTACTCAGAGCTCGTTTATGCACTGACTGAGGAGAGAGGATATCATTACATAAACAAGAACTGAAGGCAAAGTGATTTCACTCAATAGAAATTAATGATATGATGGTGATGGCTGCAGTTACCCCTTACTGTTCTAACCAAATACTCACTGTGTAGTTGAAATCAGAATTTATGATGCTTAAAATAATGTACCTTTGATTATTGGCAGACTAAAAATGTTTTTTTAATTTTTTTATTTAGTTTAAGTGTGAAATTGTAATTTTATACAGATTTGAGGTGTTAAGAAAATGGTCTGACTCTTTCACAATATTCCAAAATACCACGTCTCTAAATAGGGATTATTTATTGTGTGATGAACAGATGGTTAATGCAGTTGCTCAATGGCTCCCAAAAAAGCCCCAGATTTCATTTTGGAAGGTAAAAGACTAAACTACATGGATATGGTTATAAACCGTAAGTAGAAAAGGGGGTTTAGATAGTTGCCAAAACAGCTGAACTTTGTTAAAGAAACATGACATAACTGTACATATATTCTGTATATACAATTATAATTTAATATTGAGAAACTTCACTTTCAGCAATTCTCCTCTACCACATTTTTATATTTCTCTGACACTGTTTTCATGCACACACATCTGTCTGGGCATTGGCGTTGGCAACACAATTAGTGGATGGAAACAGAACTCTGCAGAAGTCTTTTCTTTGGGAAATCCTCCACCTCTTTTCAACATTCTTCTCAGTCTCGAAGTCTGCACATATGGACTAATAAAAAAGTGTATGGTTTGAATAATTGTCTTCAGAATGCATGTGGTCTTTGGCATGTGTGGTTTTCATGTCTTCCACCCTTTCACACTTTCAGCCAGTGTTAGTGAGGGTAAATGAGCCAAAACATCTCTCTCAGGAAGCACTCAACAAGTCACAATTAAGGCCCCAGACTTTGACGGTTATTTGTTTACATTAAGGGTTTTATATTTTGGCCCATTGACTTATAATGGCAACAATTCAAGTCTTGTGTTACATGGTGCAGATGGAAGAGTTTGACAATTACACCAATACACGCACACATATATGAAAATAAAGGGCAGAAACTGAGTATTACTGAAGTATTTTTATAACTAAGAGAATGGCCCCCTCTTACTTCATGACCTACTCCAGCCCCATCTTCCTTTCTACAGATCAGCACTTTCTTGTTGTCCCTAAGACTGAAAACCAGAGGAGATAGGATCTTTTCTGTGAAAGGACCACAGCTGCCAAATCTTTCACTTTTGCATATTAGAACGGCACAATTCTTTCTTAAAAACACCTTTCAAAAACGCCTTTCAACACCAAAGAAAGGCAAATGGGTTTGTTTGTTGCTGTTTCTCACTTGTCTGAAGATTACTTTGGTATGTCTGGCCTGTTTTTTAATGTGCTTTACAAATAAATATTCATTGATTGATATTGATTCCACTGTTGTTCAAATCAAATCAGCTTTAAAAAATAAATAAAAGACTGTGTTCTTGAGTGCCACTATGAATAATGTAAAATATTTCATTTAATTAATTACAAAGCATAGTTTATTATGCACTTGACTGTTTATCTGAAATTATATTAATTTAAAGAATTATAAAAATTGTGTATTTATAAATATTTGTGGCACTGAGAATTCTCCATACACACAACAGTGCATCTCTAAACTCCTGCCATTGACGTATTTGTCTGAGACCCTCTGTTTGGCTGGGGATTACTGGACAACAAAAATAGCTAGAAATAAACGTATTTTTTCTGAGGAAAGTAGATAATCCAGTCTTTCAGAATCTAGTTTCATTTTTCATATAGTTTTAGAAAATAATATTCTGTGGGTCTTGAGAATCAGTGAAATCATCAAAACGGCTGGCAGTCAATGAGTCAATAACCCATGTTAGTCCAATAACAAAAACCACCACAAAATATAAAAGTAACTCCCAAATAGATAAATATGTTTATTCTATCATGGAATTACTAATACAATCATATGATCACATTATTCATAAGTCATTTCAACTGTGAAACCAAAATATTGTGTCTGGGTGAAGCATATGGTTGTACTGTACATCGGCTCATGTTTTTTGTATAACACAAAAACAAATGGGAATGTTTTATCATATCCACAGTAAAATTATAGACGTTAAATAAATTAAACATGTATTTCCTAACTGAACCCTGTGTGTAGACAATAACACTGACACCTGTGTTTGTTAGCTCTTGATCAGAAATATACTGCTCATCTATCAATATACATGTATAAACAAAAACATCAGCATTTTATAGTTTAAATTGTATATATATATTTAAATATCTAAAATACATCTATGAATTTTAAACAATATGTACAATCCCCCCATGACAACGACAAATACATTCTTCTAAAATGGAAGAATAAATTAAGGTTGGAAACAATACACATTTTGTAGGTTAAGAGCTCACATGAAAGGTTCACAAACAAACATTTACAAAACATGTCGTAACTTATGCGTAAAAAGCCACACTTTAGTTTCAAGTCATCAGTCTCCTCAATTTTATATAATGTTTTTCAAGATAGTGGAGATTAGAGTTGGTCCAGCAATGATATCAAGTCTCTCAGCCTTTCTCAGTTCGACTTAAAAGTTCACGTGTTCACATTAGTTTGCTCTATAGCTGAAGAGTCTGGAGGCTGTGAGCAGTGGTCCCACACATGAGAACCCACAGAAGTGAGCAGAGGAGGCAGAGGTTTGGTGCTGCGGAGGAGGACGTCTGGTGGAAGTCGTAGTTCAAAGGAGGCTGAACCGTGATGATATGGACCATTGGCGGCGGAGGGGATGGGGCTGTGTTGCTGCAAAACCAAGAGAAGGAAAAAGATGAGTTTGGATATATTATTATGCTTTAATTATGGTAGTACAAAAGCTTTGGTCAAGATGGGCATGTACAGTAGGGGTGGGAACCTAAGGGTACCTCACAATACGATACGATACACGATACAAAGCTCACAATAACAATATTACGATAACGATTTTATCACGATATGACGATTATTGATATATTGGTCAGAAATATACAATATGCCAATTTATGGCATAAATAAAATAAAAATACTCTTTATTTCATGATAAATAGAATGGAGATGCGTAATGTAGCCATATATTAAGTATTGATACCAATTTTTTTTTTTTTTAAGTTTTTTTTTTTTTTTCAAAATTGATATCGATACTTGGCAAATGCATATCAATAATCGAATCGCGGGAGAAAGTATTGCGATATATCGAAAAATTGATATATTGTCACACCCCTAATGTACAGTATATAGTTGTCTAAATGCTTGTGCTTTTTGCAGTCAGAATGTGCTCAAATTAAGATACATTTTGACAAATTGACTTGTTTGGTGGTTTTACATCCACAAATGAATCCCCCCAAGTGAATCTGTGAAAGTAAACTAAACCAAAAAGTTTGAACGCACCCTCTGTATTTTCTCTTTTTCTCTTTTCAGAGGAATGGGATTTTGGAGCACCTGGAGGAAGCCAACTAATTCAATTCTATTCAACTTTATTTATAGAGAACTTTATAAACTACACAGTGGACCTACGTTCTGAAGTCCAAAAACACAGAAAGTCAACCCACTGAGTTAAAAGCCAAAGTAAAAAGATGAGGGACTCAAAAGCAGAAACTGAGTGCGCCAGTCTAATGTGCAGCGGCAGGCCATTCCACCGTCTGGGAGCCGCCGCTGGGAGCCGCCGCTGGGAGCCGCCGCTGGGAGCCGCCGCTGGGAGCCGCCGCTGGGAGCCGCCGCTGGGAGCCGCCGCTGGGAGCCGCCGCTGGGAACGCACTTTCTGGTCTTTGGGACGACCCCAGATACCGAGGAGCCAATCCGTGCATTTAAAAACAAATAAAAGTGTTGATTTATTTGTTTTAATTCTCCCAAGACATAGGGAGAACATTCAAATTATACACAAAAAGGCCTCTACTGGTCCGAGGATCAAACATGCACATACACAAGCACACACACACACACACACCATTTGTACGAAATATAAATGCATAAAACCAAATCAATCAACACAAAATAATGTGCTTTATGGTGTGTCTTATTCAACATTAAAATATGTGACACAAACATCTTTAAAATGTACATAATGCGACCACTGGCACTAGATAGCACTTGTTCTTCACAACGAGAAAGTCTTAGGTTCAATTCCACTTCTGGGACCTTTCTGTTCTCCCCATGTCTGCGCAGCTTTCCTCCGGGTACAACGGTTTGGAAAGAGTGTGACTGTGGGACTCCAGATGGAAATCAGTTACTTAGCTCCAATCTGGTGTATTTACAGCTCCTGCTGTTCATTAATACGCACAGTCCCATCCAAACAAACAAATAAATACAAATACAAAAATCAATGAGAATAGCTTAAGAGGAGAAGCAGACGGCCGATAAGGAGGGGCTCAGAGACCCTACACTAATCCTCCCACAGACTGTGTTTTCTTCTCTGCTCACAGTAAATATTGTTCCCGCCAATCTTTATCAGCCTCCCATTCCCTGTGCTATTTTGTGTAAACACTTGTAGCAATTAACTCATTTGGGCCGTTCTGTTTGATATGGAGGCGGCACTATTATTATTATTATCATATGTCATTTGGATTGGGATGTGGCCAGGCAAAACAAACTCACATGTTCTCCAAATAGAAGCAGATCAGATTGAATAGACTTGTTCAAGTCTTGTTGGAATAAAGCTGGAGTATGCTACTTTTAAAGCACAAAAGATGATAAATGTGTGATTTAATTCTATCACTGGTTTTCACATGCATGTTTGTTTGGCCTCCGTCACATCTTTAGATGACATACTATGACTTACACTACCGTTCAAAAGTTTGGGGTCACATTGAAATTATTATTTTTGAAGGAAAAGCTGAAGATAACTTTAAACTAGTCTTAACTGTAAAGAAATACACTCTATACATTGCTTATGTGGTAAATGACTATTCTAGCTGCAAATGTCTGGTTTTTGGTGCAATGTTGTAATTGCTGCAAATGGAGGATTCTTTGACGAAAGCAAAGTTGGATGTAAAACAAATCTTATTTCAAATATAAATCATTATTTCTAACCTTGTCAATGTCTTGACTCTATTTTCTATTCATTTCACAACGTATGGTGGTGAAGAAGTGTAACTTTTCATGGAAAACACTTGACCCCAAACTTTTGAACGGTAGTGTATGATATTTACCTATTACAATAAAAAAGAGGAGCACCCTCACTCGGAGCTGATTGGCCGAGTGAGTGATCCTCTGATTATTTTACTTTTCTGTATGAAAAAGCGGAGAAAAAAACATGCATGTTATCAATAAGTCCCTTTTATATTTCAAACTCGTGATGGAACCAAACTGTTGTGATGCAAAGGAACCAGTTGTACTAATTTATTACATAGTTCCTTTTTGTGGATTGATCGTTAGGCTTAAGTGCTGCTTTAGTGCTGAATAAAATGTTTTGAGTTAATGTTTCAAATCCTCCAGTCATATGAAGGTCAGAATATACTGTTGACTGGAATAAGGCTTAAGAAAGTCACAAGTTATCGATGCGATTTAGTTTTGGAAAATTGTCCCTGTTGCTAATTCATATGATCTAATATTTGGCATGTTATTAATTTTCCAACCAATATTTCCAATAGAAATGAAGTACTACGTGGAAAACAAATTTCCATGAACAAATGCTGAATATTTCATGCATAAACTGAGCTCTGTTGTGTGGTCTATTTACACTTTGTGACTAAACGTGTCCAGAAAATGAAACGTTTGAGGAAAAGCAGGCAGGGAAATATCACAGAAGGTTATGGCATGTCATTTCAGTCACCTTTTCAGACATTCAAATATACAAAGACACGCACCCCAGACAGAACGTACACAAGTGAGCACACACTGCCTCTGTTCGCACTCAAATATCGGTCTATACTTTCCACCACTGAGCTTTTGGTCACACCAAAGAAAGCAATAGGAACATTTGTCGAGAGGGAAAATGCAGATGGGTCAATCAAAGAATTTCATGCATCATTTTAAATCCAAGTGCTGGTTGAGAAGCGAGAATCAGATCACAAGGATCTGTCCAACAAGTAGGATTGGTTTATAACATTTCACTTTTAGAAGACTCTGTTGGGACGATCACAAAAAATATATAATTTTAGGTCCTCCAGCTTTGAATCAATAGAACTAAAGTAGTATGCTTCTTGTAAATGGAACACTCCGCCTCATGACATTAATACAGTATACAGTATATGGTTGTTTGGCATAACCACTGTGCTGTTAGTCTAATAATTAGCTGCATGCAACATGAGGATGATTATTAAAACAATATTCAAAATTATTTCAATGAAATAAACTAGTTAAGACTGGATTCTATGACACCATAAACGACAACGCAGACAGGAAAGGAGATCGCAGACTTTTTGTTCGTCTTTGCCAAACGTTGTTTGTGTTAATTCATCAAATATTGAATACACAAAGGTCAAATTTCCCCAAACATCACTCAAAAACAACTTTTAGAGGGAAAAAGGGAAGGGCAAACCATTACAGCTTGTTAAAAAACTCATAAATAAACCTCAACGCTGAATGAAAAATGTTATTTTGGGAATAAATCTTTTGAATTTTAAGTTAAAAGTTACAATTACCTTGGTGTACTGGGTTCAGATACAACAGAAATAAGTAAAGTAAATCCTGCTTTTGTTACTTACTATATTATATCATTATGTAAAGATCAACCTTTGATGGCCTTCTGTCAATAACACTCACAAGAGAATACTTGAGGGTGTAAAGAAGTGCTGCAGATTTTGTCTTATTTGAACCATCATCCATTTTCTTCTCCTTAATCCATTTCTGGGACAGGGGGTGGCAATCAGAGCTACACCCAGTTCACAGAGCACCAGTCCCAGCCTAGTGTACACTCGTGCGGCGCTGGTTGCGGTTGCGCTGGACCTACGCAGCCACAGTGGCTCGTCCACTCGTGCGTTCCTCCTTCGGAGTCTTGAAGAGGATGTTGTAACTCCACACCCAACCACGTGATGGTAAACTCACAGGAGTTGCCTGGGAAACCAAAGCGGTCCCATTTACGCTGCTACTTTCTCCTCTTCAGAACAAAAACAACAAAATGCTCCAAAGTGCCTCGTCCATGCTCCCTGCAGCCGCTTCCTGCTTCCGTCCAAAACACACACACAAACCAATCAAAACGGAGCTTCCTTGTGGCGCCGGCTGCGTAGTTAGACATTTTCAAGGGTGCGTGGCAGGCTACGCAAGGGTCTTGCGGTTTTCCTTGCGTTGCGCAAGTGACGTCACGTCACCACCGTAAGCTCTGCACCGCGCGACTATACACTAGGCTGATCCTTCTGCAGGTGGCGGGTCCACAGGAGGATGGCTGCTCTACTTCGAACTGCCTTGATATATTTATCAAGCATGGTCCTTAAAAGAACCATGCATATTCTTATTCATCCAAAAATTTTCCTTGTTAAAACAAACACTCAAGTTGTTTTAAGACTGTTAACGTTGGAAGTTGGTACCTCACACACCAAGAAAAGCTTCTGTAAAATGCAACAAAAAAAGTGCCACACCACAACAAACGGCTCAGAACACATATATTCTTTACTTGTGAAAGTGAGCTTGTTCCGCTGTCCGGTTAGTCCCTGCCTTGGGCTAGTGTGCGCACTCTAAACTGGATACTCAAAGAGGAAATCCCGAGCTGCTGTTTTCGTGCAGAGAAGATACCTATCCAGACTCGGAACTGGCCTGGACTCATTCTGCACTGGAGGGTATGATCGCGCAATTGTGTGGAGTACAGAGACGTGATACGCGGCCTGCAGCGCCACATCCGGAGCAGTCGCTTCAGCTCGGCGGACTCTATTACACACTTGAGGATTTCCCTTTCTCTCACATCCTCTGCGTCTTGGCTTTCTCATTGTCCGCACCTATGACCTTTTGCGATTCTGAATTTCGTCTCAACCGCTCACTGTCTCGTGTTTCCTCTCACTCATAGACTGTCTATGGACAATGCTAACCTGCTAGCTCAATGAAGTCTTATGGGGAAGGCTCATGGGCAAAGTTTTGGCTCCATTAACTTACATTGAACAGTAAACTCCTCCAGCTCTGTAACTGTTTGTGTCCCACTCACTATTTTGAGCTTAAAACCCTGTTGTTCAGCAGCCTGTATCATCCTGGTGATTTTATCTTTATAATGACTTTGTAAATCCAGTTATGAGGCCTTAAAACTGTACAATCATGGGCCTTCTGTTCCCGAATTCACCTTCAGCCAAAATACAGAAAGGGAACAGCGCCCCTCCAAAGTGGCTCTTTGGTTGCTTGGCCGCAGCAGATCTCTGTCAAAATGCACCTGTTATATCTGTTTAATCTACTATCTATCCATTTCCTTTCTTGGTTATGCAAATTCTAGTATGCACGGTCAACATGTAAGCCTAGATCACTCTGAAAATAAACTTGCAGTGGTCAATTGTGCCCAAACCTTCCCAGAAGCCTCTGCCTGACTCCTGGACATCACACCAGTACAATTTCAACACTACCTACACATTTCCACTTATGGACTGGAGGCTGTCCACTAATCGGCTTCTAAGACATTAGACACTAGCACTATTACTCTTCCGGCCTCTCACCTGTTGTCGATGCGCACCCACAGGTCGTTGAAGTGCCGGTGCCGCTGCTTTTTCAGTTTGTTTCGACGCTTCTTTTTCAGCATCTTTCTCTCGGCTTTCTCCAGCAGCTCCAGGCTGTCAGGTGGGAACAGCAGGTGAGGCAGCTGCTCCTCGTGGTCGTGTCCGCCGTGGGGCAGCTCGTGGAGGAACGGTTCCAGGACTGGGGATTCATCGAGGTCCTCTGAGTCAGGCGAGGAAGAGCGTCTGAAACAAGATTCAAGAATTTATTTGCCATTTGCAGTAAAACCACATTGGAATAAATGTACAAGACCACCCCAGTGTGCATCAGGCACAGGAGATAGTACACACCAGCACTCCTGCTAGAATGGCATTCTTGCTGGTTCAAAAGTAGAAATACAGACAACAAGATAAGATTGAGATCAGATAGACAAGCCCTGGTGAAACAGGACCTACCATGAAGGTAATACATTGATTATCTAATTAACAACCCTTATTAATTGACAATAATCAATTCACTTATGGACACTTCTACATAATCTATTCTCCACATTTTCTTTTCTTCCAAGAATAAGGCAACCTCAAAATGAACCTTTGTGGATATTTTTGGATTTGATGCAAGATTTTAAGCCAGTATTAAAATCAAAACTATTTTAATTATGTTTCTGTGTAATGTGGGTAATACTGGACTCACATCAAATCAGTAACATCAGCAGCTTTTTACCATCTAAAAAACATTGCCAGGATCAAAAACATAGTGTCTAAAGCAGACCTGGAGATTCTTATCCATGCATTTGTCTCCAGTAGGTTAGACTACTGCAATGGCCTGCTCACAGGTCTGTCCAAACAGGCTGTAAAACAGCTGCAGTACATTCAAAATGCAGCAGCTCGAGTCCTGACTAGAACCAGGAAGTACGACCATATTAGTCCTGACTAGAACCAGGAAGTACGACCACATTAGTCCTGACTAGAACCAGGAAGTACGGCCATATTAGTCCGGTCCTCAGGTCTCTGCACTGGCTTCCTGTGGCTCAGAGAATAGACTTTCAAACAGCTCTGCTTGTTACAAGTCTCTCCATGGCCTCGCACCAAAATATACTGTATTAGTGACATGTTAGTCCCATATGAACCAGCCCGGACTCTGAGGAGCACAGGGACTGGACTCTTGTTAGTGCCCAGAGTCAGAACTAAACATGGGGAGGCTGCTTTTCAGATTCATGCTGCTAAAATCTGGAACACTCTTCCTGAAGATGTGAGACAGGCCTCCTCTCTGACAATGTTTAAAACCAGGTTAAAAACAGCTGTGCATACAACTGAGGGATTTTATCTTTTTATCTTTTTAATCTACTGTGATTATTTATGATTTTATTGCTATCTTATTTTGTTTAGCACTTTGAGTTGCCTTGTGTATGAAATGTGCTATACAAATAAACTTGCCATGCCTTGCCTAATGTCATATGCATGCAATTAATTGTGGCCTAACAATGCAGATTATTGAACAAGACAAAGGAGGAAAGATCATGTTTTGTTTGGACAGGATGTAGCAGATGTGCCAATGACGATTACACCACTAATAGGAAACACAAACCAGATTTTATCGAAAACAAATTAATGCAACGGAATGGGAGGCATGAAGGGAAAACCAAAAGTCTTGAGAGTGATGAGAAGCACTTGTTTGAAGTATACAAGCTCCCATTCTAAAACACTAATAAATACGCACAGTTAAAAGTGAAAAACGGCCCAAATGCCCAAATGTTGCGTTTGTTTACTTCTGCGGTACATTAAACTGATAATCTGTTTAATACTCTGAACAAACGCTGTAGTCCGGCGTAAGCATATGATTACATGCGGCAAAAAATATTTACAAGAAAAGAATTACGTGTTTTTAACAATTGCACATAATCGTTGCTTCTTGGTGGGGCAAAGGGATGTGTTTGAGCCAGAAGTTGTCAATTTTAGCTCTAGTTTGGAAGTTGGTGTCTGTTAAAAAAGTACTGTACATGCTTTTAATCCAGCAAGTTAACTATAAACAGTTGTCTTGTCTAGAGTCAGAGATGTCATTGTTTTGGCCATATGTTGGAGAGGAAGAATAAGAACACACACATTTTGTTTCCTCTTCACACAACCATTGTTTGTGGTTGCGTGAAGCCATAAATGGAAACACTTTTTTTCCATTTTCAACTTATAAAATCATTGAGCCGCTCTTGGATGATCTCAAAATTGATGCTGATGCAAGGCGGTCAATGAATATACAGAATCTGGTGGATTTTTAACAAGAATCTCATCCATAAATTCTATATGGTCCATTATCGAGAAGTGGAGAGACTTCCAATCAGGGCCATTTGAGTGGTTTCAGTAATCATTATAGATTGAAAATACAAATCTTAGACGACAACTGGCTTCACAGAACCACTAATAACGATTGAAAAAGTGTTTGCGTTATTATTCATAATCAGCTTGTGTGTACACTTTTACACAGGCATAGCACAACCTTTTATGTATAAGTCTCCTGTTCACTCAAAACCATCTGCCCAGCCTCTTAACATGAATCATCCTTTCAACTATGGAAGATGTTTCCCGCACATGAGCTGTTCTGATTTTCATTCAGTCCTCTCAAGTCAAAATGAAAATCACATGGGACATTTGCCATTTGGAGATGGATTTGATTCACTAATTTAGGCTGATAAAAAGAAAAGAATGAAGGAAAGAAGATTTATATATTTGTACACACATAGTTCAAACGGGGGGATTAACACTGTGGGGGTATTTCCAAGTGAGAAAGTGCATTATCACCATTACATGGGCGGCGGTGCACATGTGAACTTGTGGTTTGGTTTTGTTAGTTGTGCTGCTGAGTGTAGCGTGAGGGGTGACACGCAGAGGTTTTTGGAGCCCACAGCCCGTGCTTGTGTGTGAAAGCAGAGTCGCTCAGCCCTGATTGCACACAGGAGATCACAGAGGCCAGATAACCACCCACAATGCTCCTCTCTCTCTCGGGCATTGCCTCTATACTGCACTTCACTGTGGCCACCGGGACGGGGACGGACTAATCTCCGCTGCCATCTGCATTTTGACAACGGCAGGGAAAAACACTGAGGAGGAATCTTTTCATCCTTTCAAATATTGAGAAAGACAGACCTGTTGCACAACTGTACTTCAGATACTTGTTAAGTTAAGTAACTCCCGTAACATTTAAGTGCCCTAAGGAAGATTTACAGGTGAATCTCGCAGAGTTCAAACGTTAATCTATTTTAATGTGAAAACAATACATGATTTAGAGCCATAACAAATCATGGCTTAAAGGCCAATCACAAATATTCTAATTTGTCTAAGTTTGATTTGTCTGAACTGCAAAACTTAAAGAAATAAATGCTTGAACTTTTAGCTTGATACAAGTATAATTAAATTGAATGTCTTCAAATAATATTTGCCAACAAGACAAGCAAACATGTCTTATTTCCATGGAAGTTTTTGGTGATAATTTGCAAATCTTTGAAAAAAAACAAGCTTTTTCACTTGTTCTGTTTACTAAACTCAAAATACTCTGGGGAAGATCAACCACACAGAGACGGAATCGTGGCACACCAAAGCTCCTGGAAGTTTACTCAGTTTCCTTCAGGTTTCAGTTGTTTCAGTTTTTTCAGACAGAACAAAGTCAGGACATGGTTTATACACAGATACGTCACACACAGAAAGACAAACGTGTCGCACCCAGAGACAATCAGAACATATCAGAGTCATAACATGGATACACAATGGGACCTTGTGACTGTGAGGTTGTCTTGCGTTTGTCCACCTGCGTATAGGACATAGTTATCTATCCACCAAGCTGCCTCTTTTTTGTACCCCATACACACCAACAAAGGTTCATGTCTAAACCTGGCAGACACCCAGGCGCAGATCAAGAAAGTATAATCAATGGTCAAGAGGGTGACGATGGTGATCAGGACAATCTGGCTTGATGATTGCAGCAGGATTTAGATTGCTTAAAATGTCTCAAACCAACAATCTGATTATAAGTTGATGGTTCATATTCAGTCCCCTTCACTGCTCTCTCTAAATCCTTCAAATAAAACATAAAGTGCTTGGTAATAAGTTCTTACTGGTTATAGCTACAACGTACATTAATACATACAGTATGTCCTTGTCTGACTTTTCCATTTACTTTGATGTATACTATACTCTATTCAATACATTTTTCATTCCGGGTTTGACGATCTGTATATTTATCCTCAGAATCTATGTGAGTGATGACCACATTAGCTGTTACTGCGGCTGGGGCCTCCGCACGAGTGTCGACGGAGCTAAGTAGATTAATAAAGGCTTTCAACCTTGTGTGTAGAAGCATATGGAGAGGGCAGGCACTCCAATAAGGAAAATCACTCAAAGGATAATTACTGCTTTCAGTTTTTGATTATCTGCAGACAACATATTTCTCACAAAGGCTGAAGCGGAACCCCCACATCTGGTTCGGCTCTCGCAAACACTGCGGACTTGTGCGCGTTCGGAGAGTGATTTTAAACGCAGTTGAAAGTTGAAAAAGTTGGGGAATATATATGTGTTCCTGTCAGCGAAACAAGGCCCAGTAGAAAAAGTGGGTAAGACATGAAACTTTATCCAAATTATGGTGATAAAATATGGGCCTATGTTTGAAGAAGGAATGGTACTATAGAGCAACTATGGGCGAAACATAATATTTTCTGCCTCCTGCTCCATCTGTCATCTCTGCGTTTCCTGCTCTCGGTTCTCATCCCTGGGATATCGCTGATGCTTGGTTAAACCCGAAGCAAAACATAAGCTTACAGGAGACATACTGTGAGAGTTGTTCATGTTACAGGCCACATTTCTTTACCTAAGCTCACGTATCTGTTGTTTTTTATACCAACTTGAAGTGCAACAGATAAAGAATCATGTGTATCCAATTACCCCCACATCAATTTCAGTATACATTCTCAGGTTTGGTTTGAAATGAAGTGAAGCTAGCTAGGGCCTGTCCCCCTGAGCAAAAACCCTGGGTTAACTCTTCCTTACACATTGAGCAACATGGGCTGGCAATAAAATCAAACTGTTTTATAACCTGTTAGGTGAATGAGGTAATACAACTACACACAACTCTCACGAGGGACAAGCGTGAAGCTACCAGTTACCATCAAACTTTGGGTTTTTGCATGTGCTGCTCTTTCCTTTATAAAGTTGTCCTTGTAAAGAGTAGTTTGAAAATGTTTGTATTTCTCTGATTGGACCATAGGCTTTCCGCAGTCCATTCTTGGTGCACTGTGCTGTGACTTTAGAAGACTGGTTTGTTTTGACCCTTTTAGTTTGACACGTTTCTGTCTTCCTCTTAGTGAAAAGCCAACGCATGTTCAAACAACATACCAAGATAAGATACATTTCATTGATCAACATTCCCGATATTGTCCCAAGTCAATGCAGCATTTCAAAACAGGTCAAAAAACATGGGATCATCTTCAGCTACTCAGCAGACAGATTGAGAAGAACTGAAAATGTGGACTGCACTTATCACTGTGTATTCATATGATAGATTATTTCTGCGTGAGTATACTTGCAAACAGTGGGAATTCTAAGATGTTATATTAAAAATTAAGGGAAGTAGTAGTAATTGCAAAGGAACATTGCAAGGGTAACTACTGCATCAAATCTCCTCAAGAGCTTTTTCTTAGTCCATTTGTCCTGTCGGTGTGTGATTTATGGACCCTAAAAGCAGTAGTTTTACCTGCTTATCGTCTGCCCCGCGGGAGTGTGGTCCACCTCGTATCCTTGGCGACGGAGCACATCGATGACTGTGTTGTTGCCAAGAAAGTGACCTGTTAAAAAGAAGAGGAAATATTGGGTCAATCATTACAATATAACATTTTAAGTATGGACATTGGTTCCTCGTAATCTGTTAGTCCTTTGAGGAAACTGCTGTTGTGCTGTGGGTGCTTCAATCAATATGACAACGCACCAGAATGAAAACCACGGACACAATGTTGAATTCGGGGACTATTCACAAAACAGGCGAGATTATGATGATGCACTACTGGACAGACAAACGGTGGTAATTTGTTTACAGATCCAACATAGTGACAACAAAGTCAAAGCTATCTTCCCTCATGTTCACCTTCCACAGCGGCACCAACGTGTAAGCTTCATTCGTCATCTTCTGCTTCTCTGAATTGAAAAGATTGGCACAATGTGATGCAGGGTTCTGATTTATTTATTTTCTGCTGAAACCAATACATGAGCCTTTGATGTATTTTTTTTTTTCCTCTCAAAAACAAGGTCAACTTTTTCATTTCAGATAAGGATATTTGAACTCAAAGCCAGGACACATACACTAGACATGTGTAGCGTCCAACAGTTATGGCCGATGGAAAACCGCATGGAAAAACCTTAGACTTAATATCAATTTCTGATATTTGGTCTGATATTAGTCAAGCTAGTTTTGACTGTGAACGGTACAAAAATACATTGATTTGTTAGTATATGAAATAATGTATACATAAAATACAGACTCTGCACATACCATATACCATACTGTGCTCTAAAAGTGAAACATGGCCACTTTACTTTTCCACATAATGCATCACATCATCTACAGTTTATCCATAAGACAAACTGTATGTTATTCTCTCTCAAATTAGATTCTCTTTCTGTGACAGCTCTCCATTCTCACTCATTCAAATCACGGTTCATGTGTCCATTGCTTCCTGTTGATGTGGACTTCCTCCAGGTCCCTTATCTCCCCCGCCTCCCTTCCCTCTGCTCTGACCCTCTCATAGGTGAAGTGGGGGTATTCAGGCTTCAGGTTGCCATGTCAAGAGGTCTCCTTTCTTCCACTCGCTGTGACAAAGAGGAGCAGAGAAGCTTTGTTTGGGGCAGCTCAGCCGTGCCATCACAGGCCGCGGTAAACAAAAGGCCCAGCACTTTAATCTGGCTCAGGGCTCAGGGCGCACCGCTGAAGTCGCCATAGCACCTCTGCCGCCACTAGCATCAGAGCCGTAAGTCTTTCAGACAAAAAGGTTAGCTGGACAGTGTGGGGTAAGGTGGGTCATTTTTATTCATGTCTGAAGAACAAGAACGTGGGATTACTTTTAAACATAAAAGTAATCCCACAGACAGTACATATATGTTGAAAATTCAATATTCAACAGCATACTGGAGCATGGACATATATTTTATTACTATCAATGGTGCAGACCTTTTAATCAGAAATGTTCCAAACGTTTAATTTAAAATAGAACGTTCCAGGAAATTGCTTTTAAAAATAAATGTCATGCATTATTCTTGGCTATTTCTGACTATTACTGTTTACTTTGGCATTTCATATTTTAGAATGTCTGGCGACTGATGCATCAAGGATTAAAAATGGTGCCTGCATGAAATTCTCCATGCTACCACCAGAGTGAGGGATTTAGATAAACAATTTTTTCCCAGAATTTCAAAATTGGGTATGATGTAGGATGACTGGTTTAAGGAGCATAGAAGGGGCTGAGTCACAGACAGTATTTGCCCAAGAAGTTCCGGATAGTACCGTGGATGGATCTAAATACAGCACGGATCAAGTGTACATTTTATGATATACTTGAGAATACTTCAAATGCAGTTAAGTGGAAAAAGCTTTGTGTTCACTTTTTTCCTACCATTATCCACATTTTTGGGCTGGAAAATTAATCCTCCCTAAATGCAATTCCCCATATTATCTCGTTTTTTGATTAACATTATTTGAAATACTTAAATTAAAACAAAAGGAAAACAAATATGACTCCCACTGATGACTGCTGTCGTTGTGTCAGTGGGCAAGACACTTAACCCCACTTTGCCTGAAGCCCCCACTGAATAATCAAGGCCCCTGTGGACTCACCACCTGCAGGAGGATCAGTGAGGGGCTGGTGCTCTGTGACTGGGTGCAGCTCTGACTGCCACCCCCAACCCAGAAATGGATTAAGGGGAAGAAATTGGATTGATGGATGGAAAAAAATATATATACATTTTTTAATATACATAATTCAGTTAAACGTATAATTTCTTATTTTTATAAAGATAAAAATATTTTTTTGCTCAGCACTCGGGCAATTATTACCAAATATTTTAACAAAACTTACTATAGGAACACATTATTAGAGGAACACGTTGCAAAAGACTTCCCCGGGCGACCAAAAGTGGAAACTCCTGCAGCCCAGACATCAGCTCTTTATGGACGTGCTAAAACCTTCTTACGCCACAAAAGCCCGGCTGCATTATGAGGCACCTGTACTGGTCCATAAAAACCACTGTGGTGTCCATCCTTGAACAGAGCCAGAGTCTCCCAAACGGGCCACTAGAATGATTAGAACATATGGTAAGCCTTAAATAGCCTTCCTTTTCCACACACACCAATATTTACATTACAAGTTGTTAGTGGGCCCGCGCAGCCGCTCTCATAACATTACGGCATGTTGGATAAACAGAGCTGGAGGCTGAAGTGTGACCTCCCTCCTCACTGTTCCTCTACACATGGTCTCTTCCAGCCCAGACCGCCGCCCCCCAACGCTGAATGAGCTCTTTTATTTTATGGACCAATGACAATAAAGTTATGGGGCCATATTTTGTACTTTCTTGACTTCCTCTAAATCTTTAAAACCACATCTGGCTCACAAAAGTCAAACTGAGCTGTAGTTGTTAGACATTTTATATTTGGAAATGTAAGTGTTTTTGACCAGATCCATTCAGCTCCACAATTTCAGGTAACTTGGTTTTCTAGGGAACATTGCCACTAAGCCAGGTTTTGTTTATTTAGATTTTAGGCTTTAACCTAATTGTTACTAGGATCTGAAATGTGATTTAGCCAAAAAATCTCAACCTTGATAATATCTATAATACTCAGATATTGAACCGGAGTGAACCCTTTTGCACCCTTTATAATGTAAGTCAAAATATACAGCAATAGATTTAGATTTAGTCTCGACTATTCTGCTACTAGAGTAGGACTATAGCTCTGGGCAGTGTTAAATAAATCTGTTCAGTCAATAACACAGTGTTGAGGAAGGTGATTCTTCTGAATAAGTATGTTACTGGCACTGTGTTAAAAGTTATTACACATCTGACTTTATAAGTATACATCCAGTTTTCACTTTATACGTCTCAACTCACACAGAAAAAGTTGAAAGTAGAATGACCTTTAGTGAAGAGTTGCTGTCAGAGAGCCAGGGCTTGAGGAAAATATCAAGCGATGCACAAATCAAGTTTAAGATAGTTTTGCGATTGCAGATATATCATTGGCTTAAAGTTTCTCAGTCTTATGTTTCATGTACTTGGCTTTGACGCTAATCCAAACATATTTTCAATAAATTATAGATAATACAATATTTTGGCATTGATCTGCTTGTACAGTTAACCTGGCCAGTGATTTAAAAAGCAAAGCCTTGATAGAAGGGGGTTTATATGGGCTACCAGGGCATGTTCTACCTCATTTTAAAGATAATTTTCTCAATAAACTATCCAAATCCTTTATTCTGGGGAATGGAACAACATAGGGAACTCAAGCCCTGATTAAGCAGGCTCGGGCGAACAAAGGGCGAACCTATGGAGACAGAGACAGGGTAAGGCACCACTAACCCTTTCAGCCTCCCCATCTTCTCTCTGCAGTACAAGTTTCTGGTGAAAATATAACTTCATTCATTTTTTTTGAAAATGCCAAACACGTTGATGATTAATTGCACTTCTGCCACACTGAGGAATGTTCATAGAGATTCAAAGTTCCACCTCCACATCGCTGCACCTTTCAAAGCCAGCTGTATGGAACAGTGCACCACAAACCTACAGCCATTTGATGACTGCTTTAGAATCCAACTGTGGAAAGATTCTCAACAGCAGATAAGGAGCAAGAAGTTCAGTGATCACAAAACACTAGGTCAAAACCACATTTCCAAATAAATAAGCCAGAGAAAAAGAATGAAAACATGTCGCGGGGTGAAAGATGGGATAATACATTTCTAAGGAACATGCTGGTTTGTGATGATAAATAAGGAAATGGGACAGACAGAAAGACTACTTCTCAAACGAAAGAACACAAAAGTTCTTCAAAATAAAAGCCTGGATGCGAGACAGTTTGGAATACAGGGTACGACTATAACAGTCAGTGCTCTGGAGGGTTTAATCGCGGAATATCAAAATTGTATTATCCTTATCGGCCGTTTCCTGTTTAAAAATAGTTGTTGTACACTGTAGTTGTAAGTTGGCTGGAGTACCTAACACGGTGGCTGAGTGGATAGCTCTCTCTTCTCAGCAAGAAGGGTTCGAATCCTGGTCGGAACAGGGCCTTTCTGGTGCAATTTGCATCTTCTTGTGCCCCGTGTCTGTGTAGGTTTGCTCTGGGTGCTCCGGTTTCTCCTACCACTAAAAACATCTATAATCTGGCATTCTATATCTATAAGTTCTGGCATTCGCCTCCTGTACGGGGACCTTGCTCCCACTTCTGTGTGGAGTGAGAAACAAACGGCCACAATTGTAAAGCCCTTAGTGACTCTGGTCCGTGAAAGGTGCTCTATAAAGACAGATTACTTACTTATTTACTTTAATATTTAATATAATGCAGTTTATTTGTCTTAACATAAAGAGTATTGTAAAAGTACAATTTCTGAACAGACTACGACGTGCTGTATTCATCCTATCAGAATTGTTTTTTTGTATAGAGCTCCGTGAGTTACTAATTGATCTGTGCGATAGCTGACTGTGGCCAAAAATACATGCGTGTGAATCAAACTGTTGTGGAGCTAAGTGTAATTTGAAGTAAGCCAACATTACGGCACGGTGGCTGAGTGGATAGCACTCTCGCTTCTCAGCA